ATTTTGCATCAGGGAGCTGTTTCAACAAAAATCAGTTAACCGTCTACGCCATAGTGCCCTCTACAGGGGGAGCTTATGATATGTAAACAGTGGTCTCAGTATCTCAGTAGATACGGTCTGTAGACTTATTAGCAGTCAGACGCTGAAGTATGAAATATTTAAATTATTTATTCCAGTCGAATGGTTCCATTTTTACTCGCAGTACTTCTTTCTTTTAACCTCCTTGCCCTAATCTTCTCTCACATTTTGTTAACTGGTCCTCTCTGAGGTTACAGAAAGCCCTATCGCCAATCCTTTTTGTGTCCTCAAGGCATTATTATATCCTAGATGAACCACTGACGCATGAAGGAACTGTAAGCTTCTAGTTGCTCCATAATGGCTTCTAGCCCTCCTTGTCGCCTACCTCATGCTCGTCTTGATCTTTTAGGTGACCTCTTGCCGGCCGATGGCCTAATCATCCAGAGCAACGATCTCAAAGTGGACGAGAGCTCTCTGACAGGTGAAGCGGACCACGTGAAGAAGGGTGAACATATCGACCCCGTACTCCTCTCCGGTGCGTTACAAACACTTTTATTTTAACTCCTCCCCCCTCCCCTACCCGCTTCTTGTTACACAATACTGCTTCGTTTTACCACAGGCCTTGCAAGTCCAATCAGAAAACAGCCCACCCTAATGTTTTGAAATTATGTTTTTAGCAGATCAAAGGTTCAGATTAATGGCACATATATTTTGTCGCTCGTTTCGCCGATTGCCAAATCCGACGACGATGATTTGATATCAATGCAGCACTTTAGTTCGGTTGTCTGTCAGAGACTGTGTCCTACACATGCATTTAATGGACACGTCACTGTATGATGGTGGGCTTGGAGACGAATAGTCAACCTGAAGCACTTGACGATTCATTGCTGGAGCCCCATTGCCCCCGCAAATACTTTCTTAGGCCCACCCGTTTGCTTTTACTGAAGATTGCTTTTCTTTTATTCTGTACAAGGCATCTCAATCATCGGAATCATGGGTTTATCCGTCTGAGCTTTCGAACTCTTACTATAGTCCGTTGTCAGAGATACTAGTCTCAACGGAGAACAAGCAACAGTTACAGAGGCAGGGGCCAATCAACAACCAGTGCCGTCAGCCTGGAGATGCCTGCGCAGGGTGATGTATGTCGGTGCCAGATCGATAAATCGATTGACTGAGTCCTCATCCGAGGCCCAGACTTTAATAAGGGTAAAGGTCATAAAGGTAACTCTGATGTCCATCCAAACAAAGTGCGTTTGTAGAACGCCGACAAAAAGTATTTGGAAAAACATAAGGCACAGCTTGCCCCACATACCCTCAGGCAGTCCAGAGAAACCAGCTTAAGTAAGAATGAAATGGGAATAGCATGAACGGACAGGGAAACTGAAAGTTAAAGATACCGAGTTATTATTTGGAGAGAAGAAATTGGCAACTTGGCCATCGTCGCTGCGATCATCTATGCAGAACATTCTGTCGTCGAAGCTGGACAATTTGCTTTTTTTTCGCAACTCTGCAATTCATATTCTGTGGCACAAATATCAACCAAACACCATTTAAAATGACCTTCAATCAGTAGAAGACGAGAAGGAGGAATCTTTTTTTAAACTGACATCAGACTTCCCGGTTGCAAGACCGTAGCTGTGAACCCTCCTCCAGGGTTTTCTGCGCAAAAAAGAGAAGACGCTTTTTGCACAACCGATTGGCGTGTTATTCTGCTGCTGCTGCTGCCAAGTGGTTCGCCTCATGTGCCAAGCATGTACGTCGTTGTTCGCTCTTTAACAGACTTAAAAGTCGTGATTGTACTCGCCAGAACATGCTCGTCACGGTATGACGCAAGGTGCCCCTGTACTGTAAGATGCGGAGCCATAGATTGCATGTGTAGCTGACTTCGCCGGCGACCTGTCAACGCAATCATTTTTATGACACGTTAAGAGGTGCTGGGAGGCGCAGGCGAGGGGTGTAGCGAGATAATTCTACCACAGACTTCAGCTCACCTAGTCAACTAAATTTTAACCAGCGAAGTCGGTGTACTTCATTCGAAGGATGATCCTTCTGTACAACATATACAGTATGGCGAGTGCTGAAAGAAACATTCCTGAAGCCGTGGTGGTCAAAAACTTCCAGCTTCCGTTCATCTTCCACGCACAAAGCCCAACATTTGCATCCGTATTATAGAAGGACGGACCGCACAGATGCACGGTACACGCGGATCTTTGAGGAGATAGAAATATCGCGCCGGGTCCATAGGCACTTTGGAAGGCTGGAGAAAACTCGTCGAGCTGCGTCAGTTTGGGAGAGCATGTCATTTTTACTCTGTCCATTCGGCAGCAACCTCGGTCCGAGGTATTTTAAACTGTCTACTTCTTCAAGTTGACAGCCACTAATCTCGAAAGGTGCCTTCTCTTGAGCAGCGATGCAGCATGAAAACATTTTGGTTTGCCCAGCGTTTATGGATTAACCGACCGATTTCGCGACCTCGTTCACCCGTGACACCATAGACTGTAGATCGCCAAAGCTTGAGCCTAGTGAAGCGATATCATCGGCATAGTCGAGGCCTGTCAACCGGCGCCCGGGTACAGCTCAATACCATTATTGGATTAGTGAATCAAAATTATCAGTGGAATGTCTGAACTCTGAGGACTCTGCGCCTCAACAGTGTGTCGCCCCTGCTCTGAACCCCACCCAACGTCGTCCAAGATGATGTTTCTTCAGTTATTGTGCTTTTTGCTGTCTGGATGGGTGGATGGAAAAGTGATTTGGCAATCTTACACGCGAGCGCAACTGATGCAGCATATTACGACGTG